TGGTGAGCAGAGACATCTTCGGCAACAAGCCGTTCCTCGGGTTGTGCTTGCTTCACAGGCACCAGCCGCGGCCTTCCTTCTCTCCTTGCACGAGATCCGCTTCGACGAGTCCACCTTCTTCCAGACTTACGAGCTGGACCGAACCGGGTCGAGCCTGGGTCACGGCAGCTTCTCGATCTGCCTGCGATGCCGGCACCGCGACACCCGGCAGGAGTACGCTGTGAAGTACGGTGACTGTACGGTGACACAATAATTAAATATAAAAAAAGCTTCTTTTCCTCTCGTCGTATAACAATAATTGCAGTGCTGTCAGTAATACTTTCACCGGTATTCGTTTATATAATTCATTGAGTTTTCTGTTCTGTTGACACTAGAAGATGCCATTTGACACTTGATCGGCGCAGTGTCACTTCCGGGAAGAAGAGGAGCCGGCCTGCGAGCAGCGGAGCAAAGCAACGCGCAACGTTCCGGTGACGTCGAAGATGACGGCGGTGGCGATGCCTCCCGCGATGGCCCACAACAACAGCGGTGGAATGATACAAGTGATGAACGAGAATAATTTAAGTAAGATAGAGAGATGCGTATCCGTCGTTTTCTTCTCTTCTTCGCTCGAAGCAGTCGCGTCTAATCATATTGATCCGTCTCCGCAGCTTCTCAACGACACGGCTTACAGAGAAGCCATTGAAAATTCCTCCATATACAATAGCAGATTATGCCGGGAACGACGTCTTCGCATGCCCTTCCTAGATTCGCAAACGGGTAAGATTAATCGCACAGTGGTGGTGATCGTTTTTCGTCTTCACGATGATTGGAGAAGTTGTGTGTCTGCGCTTTTGGTGTGATTTACTGATTTATCGACTGGATTTGTTGTATTTCTATAAACACCTGTCTGCAAAATCATATGTTCAAAGTTATTAGACTATAACAATGCTTCGAGTCTGTAACTACTTATTTTGAGGTCAATGAAACTTGACCTTTGTATCGATAGCATATATATAAATTATAAATAATATATAAACAATAATTTAATTGAATATATGTAGAAAATACACTAAGTGTGTTGCGCAAACTTTCTATGATTTATCTGAAATTAGTAATGAAAATTCTGTTCTTAATTTGGAGCATTATTTATATTAATACAATTGTAACATCAGTTACAATTAAAGTAATTTCAATTATTTATCTATTTATCTTTGTAATTTATATTTGTGAATAGCTATCTGCAAAATCATATATCAAAGTGATTAGACTGTAACGATAGTTCGAGTCTGTAATTAAATATTTTGAGGTCAATGAAATTTTTGACTTTTTGTATTGATAACATAATTAATTAAATATATATAAATTATTAATGATATAATATATAATAATATATAAATAATAATTTAATTAAATATATATAATATATAGATAATATATAATTAAATATAGGTAAATGATACGCTAATTGTGTTGCGCAACTTTCTATGATTTATTATTGAAATTAATGCAGTTGTAACATCAATTACAATTATAAAAAAATGATATATATATTATCTTTGTTTTTACATGATAATATTTAGGATTATGTAAAACTGCAGGTGTGGCACAGAATCATTCTGCACTTTTTATGTCTTCGAGAGAAAGATTACCAGGATTGTTAAATGGTCAAATTTACACTTATCCAAGCAAAAGATGGCGAAAGAAACGACGGCAATACTTGATGCACTATCTACATCCAAAACGAGGATTAAGAGGTGATACAGAGGATGGAACAGAAGGCATCGAAGCTGTTACGCACATAAATGACGATAGCAAAGATTCAGTAGTACTTAAAGGTAAACAAGAAAGAATAAATATTTTATTTAATTATTTATTTTATTTTATTTAACAAGAAAAGATACAAATTTTATTTAATTTATTTATATTATTATGTAGAATATATATTTATAATATTTATATATATATATATATATATATATATATATATATATATATATATATCGCTCTTCATATCTTTTGCATCAAAATTCGACCTTCGAAAGGCTTCGAGAAACTTCGAGAATTTTATATCTGTTTATTTCCTTTGAAAATACTTACACGAATACGGCCACACACATGCGAAAAGTACCGAGACAAAAATAAATATAAATAAAAACATAATAGACGAGACAGAGAGAGACGAAAGACGAGAAGCACAGAGACAAGTATCAAGACTTAAGAGACAAAGGAAATAAACAAATATAAATTCTCGAAGCTTTTCGAAGGTCGATTTTGTCGCGTACGAATAGAAAAATTGCGATATTAATGAAAAGAAGGAAAAAAGAATTACAGGGTCGTCAAATTTTACTTGTAAGAAAAATAATGAAATTTAGGGCTTCTGGCTCCTGACCGATAATGTTGGAATTGTAATGTCAGAGGCGAGAAAATATATGCTAAAAATTGCATTTTCGAAATAAAAAGATATTTCGATGAGACAGCATTTCAGATAGCTTTAAACTCTTAACTATTGCCAAAACGATCCTTTTTCCTATATATAATCAATCAACAGCTGTAAAATGATTAAGAATAGTTTTCGAGGTATTTTAAAAGTGATGTAAACGTAATATGTTCCATCGAAATATCTCTTCATTTAAAAACGGCATCTAAGAATTTCCAGCGTACGCTTTCACGCTTCTGACGTCACAATCTGACATAGCCAGGAGTCTTGATTCGATGTCAAAATGAATGTAAAATATTGGTCTTGCGCGCGGTTTTTTGTTTCGCGAGTTCTATATGGATTACTTGTCATAATTAACGATTTGGCGGACTGAAATAGGATCAGTTGCTGTTCTGTGACGACTGTGATCGTGGATACCACATGTATTGTCTGGCTCCTCTTGCGTCACACGCCGGAGGGCTCCTGGTCGTGCCGCTTGTGCTTAGCCGAATTTTATCGCCGTGATTAAGTTCACTCTCTGGGATAGTATATAGATATATACATATATATATATATAAGTCACGGAGCTATTCTTGCTATCGCTGTGGCATACAACGTCTTGGTCGTCTTATTAGGAGAATTAGGAGAGTATTCGCGAGAGCTCACTCGTACACCTAAGATCTCTTCTTTTCGACTGAACTGGCAGCACTAGTTCAGAGTTTATCTTTTTTACTCCACATTGGAGGGAAAGAGATAAGCTCTGAACTAGTGCAGCCAGTTCAGTGAAAAAGAACCAGATAGTATTATATAATACAGACACCCCAAACTTTTGGAGGGGAAAGAAGAAAAAAAAGGAAAGTTCATTGATCATTATTTATTACAAAATTTATATTGACATATTATTATCAGCTTCTTGTTACATTATGTTGATGATAATAATAATAAATGACGATAATAATTAGAGAAGAATACATTTAGCGTAATCTGTCATTATCTCAGGCACTTGGTGATCTCGACGAGATAAAGATGTAAGGAGGCACATATTTATATATAATTTAATCGAGATAGTTTTTAGAATATATATATAAGTGTATAAAGATACAACTCATATATAATTTGATCGACTGTCAACAGAGTCCTGTAAGGAGAACGAACAGAGAGATTATTAATTTTAAAGGCGAAGACGGAGTTCGATTTACTGATGATCTTAGATTTTACATTCGTGTACCGAACAAAGTGTATTTTTTGCTCATTTTATGAACTGACCATACATACACACACACACACCACACACAACATATATATATATATATGTACATATATGTATGTATATGTGTATATGGAGATTTATATATATTACTAATAAACAAACTATAAGAGGTTTAGTCGAAGATTGTTAAATAGGACAATACTCTCCTAGTTCTGTATAGACTATTCTACTCTTAGTCAATGATATATATTGAAAAGTATTTGATTTTGCATTCAGAACTTTTACAATTGCTTAAATTTAACGATGAATTTGGCGATCTCGAGTCTTCACTCTAACTCTTAGCTCCTCACGCTATCGACTTGACTAACGAATCAACTTTCATAGGAAAGGAAAAAGAAAGAGAAAGGAAATGATAAAGGTAAATGAAAAAATTTATTCTAGGAAATCATGATATTAATAGTATTTGTTCTATGAATAGTGATAAACGAAAATAGAATATTATCTCTGTTTCTCTGTATGTGTCATGATACTCTAAAGCTTTTACACTTAACGAGATAACTATATTAATAATAGCGACATAGCTGCCATACGCAGACTTTGCAGCACACTCGCAGAAAGATTATAATTCTACATGTTCTTCGTCACATTTAGCCCAGTATTTTTATATTTTATATATTAAATGTACTTAATTTTAAGAAACTGTGGTGATATTTGGTATTCGTTGATATCAAACTTCGTTTCGTAATTTGACAATTTTTACGACCGCCTAATTGTACAGCTAATGTCATATACATATATATATATATATATATAATCTCATTCTTAAATTAATTTTTTTACGAGTTTAATTCTTACAAGAGTTTTTCTCTCCTCGATTAAACTGGATCAAATTTATATATTGGTATCGCTTATTTTTAATATTATGTATACAAATTGGAATAAAAACGTTAGTTTATACAAACTGGATTATTAAGTTTAGAGCAGTCTTATTATACGTGCCATTGTACACATTTTCAACTACAAGAGAAGGAGAGATTAACACAAACGACATGACTCGAACAGGTGCTACATTTCAGGGATTAGCTCTTTGTTTGGACGTTACGATTACTTTGTAATATTGGCAATGATGTTTTATAAGGAATATACATACTACATTTTACTAGTGTAGTAAATAATTGCTATGTAAGATATAAAACAAAAGTTAGTAATCCGAAAATTATAACATTTTTTCATAAAAATAGTGCTAACATAAATGGATGTTTGACTTATTTCAAATATTCCTTTCGATCCATGTAACGAAGTACACATATATATGTATATATACGGAGATGAAATATATATTATCTCCGATTTCATCCAGTATGAAATATTAAAGCAGCTTCTCACGAATCTGTCTCCGTTTAATCGATCTCGATTAAAATTTCGGATAGAAGTTTTCGTTGCAAATCAGGTACGGTGGCATCTTTAGCTGGATAACCGACTGGCAGAAGTAAGACGAGCTTTTCGTTCGATGGACGTTGAAGAAAACTGCGTATAGTCGGTCCACAGTTCAACGGGTCGACGTAAGGGTCACCAAACCGGCGTACAACATTTAGAAAAAAATGTTCAATTAATTCAATTATATTTATATTTTATTTATATGCAATTGATTCGATTATTTTGTGAAAATTATTTTTAAAATTATATAATTGAATATAAAGATATATCATTTAAATTGAATATTTAATTTGTATTCAATTATATAATTCAATTCAATGAAGTGTTTACAAGAAGAGTTTGTGATAATTCCCTTCTTGGGGTATCTCAAACTTAACGTTAATTAACACATAAATGTTGTAAAGATCATCAAATCGGCGTACTATATTAAAAAAAAAATGTTCAATTAATTCAATTATATTTATATTTAATTTATACACTTGATTCGATTATTTTGTAAAGTAAAAATTATTTTATGAAATTATATAATTGAATATATAAATATAATTAAATTTAAGTAAATTTATATTCAATTATATAATTCAATTCAATGAAGTGTTTACAAGAAATCGTCAAGTTTGTGATAATTCTTTTCTCGAGATAATTTCTATCTCAAACTTAACTTTTAATTAAATTTCTTAATGAATTGATGTGTTTGAATGTTTTTTGATATTTTATGTTAATATATATTTTCGTAATTGTTACAGATTAAACATAATTTTTCGAAAAATTCTTGTAAAAAAAAAAGGCTCCTTTCCTTCGGACAAAAGAGATTTCACCCCGATTTCTCGCAAAGGAAAATTATACCTGTATGGCAGTAATGAGGATCCCGCACGCGATAGAAACGCTCATCTCGTGATAATAATGGACCTTCCTCTTTCCATTCGGCAGAGTACCGTAGGTCTGCTTGAACACGAGTATCAGATACGGGGCAACGGTGAGATACTCCTTTATCTAGTTGGTCCTCAACGGAGACAAGTCGGTGGTCCATTTCATGCCCATCCTTTTCTTATAATTGATCTCCTCCTCCTGCTCCACGATACTTCTGATTTTGGATTTCACGGTCCGATTGGATATCACGACGAAACTCCACGGTTCTGTGTGCGCCCCGCTGGGAGCAGTACCTATAATAGGTTTTAAAAAGCACGGATGTGTAACTTGAAAACAGGTGGAAATTGTCAATTTTATTTCTTTTTTATCTTACCCGTGAACAAAATTTTTTATACATGACAATTTGGAATTATATAGAAATATATTAAATTATATGTATAATCGCAAAATTATATATGAAATGTGTCCATATGTAATTAGATAAAAGGGCTTTTTATATATAATAATAAAAATATATAAAATGTGTTAATAAACCGACCACAACTGGCAATGTTATTCTTTCAAAATTCAGACAACATTTCGACCTTAGTTCAGGTCCTTATCAAGTCTGCTAAGAAATAAATTGACACACTTCTACATAATAAAATTCATACTAAAATTCGTCCTACGTTTGTTGGACATTAACGTCGTGATATTAGAAAACGAATCAACTAAGCAGCCTTAATAACCAAATCATATATAGAATTTAAATTCTCTGTGTCTTTCTGAAGGTTGATCGTGTTTAACAACACGAAAATTAACAACACGATCAACTTTCAGAAAGACACAGAGAATTTAAATCTTATATATGATTTGGTTATTAAGGCTGCTTAGTTAGTTCGTCTTTTAATATCACGACGTTAATGTCCAACAAACGTGAGACGAATTTTAGTATAAATTTTATTATGTAGAAGTGTGTCAATTTATTTCTTAGCAGGTATGATTTTTATTTATAAATTTATATACATTGATTTACGCTATTTATCATTTTTTAAAAATGTGCTTTTTATTAATAATTTATCAACATTTATAATTATTACTTTTTGATTGTAGACTTGATAAGGATCTGAACTAAAGTCGAAACGTTGTCTGAATTTTGAATAAATAACTAAAGAATAACATTGCCAGTTGTGGTCGGTTTATTAACACATTTTATATTTTTATTATTATTTCACTGGCGATTTATATTAAATTACTCGTAATAATTATATAACTTTATATATATATATATATATATATATATATATATATAATAAATATTTCTTAATTCATATATCTAAATATATATGTTTCATATATAACTTGACATGATTTTATATATGAACCCTTATAATTTATATATATAAATTTATATAATTATATATAAAAATGGACGTATTTCACGTATAATTATATATAAAAAATTGTTTCTCGGATATTTAATTTTATATGTAAATATTTAGATATTTAAATATTTAGATATACCTGCGGCCCTTATAATTTCGTGGATAATTTCCTTCGGAACGGGATCCGGGCTAAAGTATCTTCAGGTACGTCTGGCGGCTGTCATTTGATAAAATTCTGACGCCCGAGACAGCGATTCCTTTTTGGGTAACCGGACATACCGATATGGTATGTGCTTGAGATCCTTTAGCAAGGCGGGTTCTTCTTCTTCTTCAATCAAGTCTTCATCTATTTCTGCAAGATAATTCGGAATATTTTACGCGATTGTGTTATTCGATATAATTTGCATTATAATATAATTTGTATTTTATATAATATTATTAATATTAATTATAATTAGTAATATTTATAATTAATATTATAAGTTATAATTAATATCAATAACATAATATTCGCGATATATAAGTTAGTAAAAAAAAGTATTGTATACTGTTTTATTATATTTTTAATTTTGTTTTTATTTTTTAGAGTATATAAAATATTCTAGCTCTTTTCATTTAGAAAATCGTGAAAAAGAAATAAGAATCATTTAAACACGACCGACAAAATCGAGAGATTTTAATCGTAAAATTAACAATCTTATCTGTTGACTAACTCACTGGAATTCCATGGCATTCACGCTTGTATTAAGTAAGGACACTCATCAATTTTTTCATTATTAATTTCATTATCCTTACTTTCTATTATTTTCTTGATTGCTTAGTATAGTAAAAAATTGTTTTTAGGATTTTAAGCACGAGGCATCGAGCGAAGCACTTTCATCTTCCACTTTCATTTTCTAAAATGAGACAAATACGACTCTGTTCCGCTCGATAACAGTTATATATACACAATGACAGATTACTTTCACTCGGATCCGTAGATTCGTCGGATGCTGGAGCGAGGGGCCTCTTCTGTGGTCTCCCGAAAATTTTGCTAAACAGAATGAGGGAAATGACGCCGACTAACAGGTGATAAAAATATTTCGTCACGAAAGGCGCGTATTCGGAGAACATCTTTCCGGTCTCTCCTTTTCGTCGCACAACAAGGAGGGAGCCTCTCTCGCGCGCGACTTTTTACTCGCTACTGATCCGGATCGGAATGATTTTCACACTCGACTCTCGAGTCATCAAGGTCGCAGATATAAGATATCTGAGAGTGATATCGGGAACGCATTCCGATAGCGTCGGGGGATAGAAAAATCATTATTCGAGCGTGTATTAAATTCGCCCGCGCTATTATAATGTCGAAACCGAGTGTCTCTCTTTTTGACATTTCTCGTTGATGCACAACTCATCGAAGAAACGCGTAAAATTGATGCGTCAGTCGTTTCGTGGAAATTGCAAACCTCTCTGATATACGCTATATACATTTGTATGTAAAATTTAAAATTTTGCAAACATATCTACCAGCTCGTTTCCCTCTTTTTCTCGTATTTTTCAGTAATAATTAACTCGATATCGTCGCGTGTTGTTTTTCAACGTTTGCTTACATCCAACATTGTTACGAAATTGTTATCGTAGATTTGTTACACATGAAATGACCGATCGATATATAGGAATAATAATAATAATAATAATTGCGCGCGTTTTATTCTCGCGAATGACAGAAAAAATCTGCAAAAACTACCAGTTTCAAAGGCACGATTGAAAACGATCCTTGTAATCTTCTTAATTATGTCAGTTTATGTTAGCCCGATGACAATTAATTCGCTTCGTTAAGATTTTAAAGTTAGCCAAGAGCATTTTTAATTTGCATTTTAAATACATTGTCTTCGTTATGCTACTAAATATGATGACCAAGAGTGAGTGGAAACTTTCCTCGATTCTCTATTCGAAAATTTCAAACAACTTTACATCTTTGCTGTATACATTTGTAAGTTACACAACTTGGTTCAATAGAATCCAAAAAAAAATGGAAAGAATCTGAATGAAATTTTCTTTGTTACGAGATATGTAGCACATTTTTTTTTTTTTTATATGAACATGAAATTTTTGCAGGAGAAAATTTGATCCTAAACTTATCTATTTTTTTTTCTTGTATACAGTTTTTCGTATAATCTCTGTTCTTTTAGGCCTGATCCTTCTTCCCCTTCTGTTCGAAAAAAATTACCGAATCAATTTATCAATTCACGTCCAATTGATAACGTGAAATTTTCACTCTCATTTCACGATTGGAATATAATGCAACGCTCGTCGTGTCGACCTTGATTATCAATAAGGAAAAATCGATACGCAGAATTAAGGAGAACGTAGTATACACAATTCCCCTTCTCTCTCTCTCTCTCTCTCTCTCTCTCTCTCTCTCTCTCTCTCGATATAAAATTATAGAAGATATTCCGGCTGTACCCTCTTCGTCGCGCGTGTCGTCTTCTCGATCGAAAGGAATAATGCAATACTAAAAGCTGCCTTCGAGACTAGTTCGTACGAGACATAAAAAAAACGATGATAAGAAATTGTACAAGATTCTCCGGAACAGGACTGTGATATCGCGCACCCGACACAGGCGTTAGATGCACACAATCAAATTTCCTCGAATTTTTATATAATTCAATTACTCTAATTTATATTTCAATTATACGTCCAATTACCAGCGAATCATTCCAGCATTGATTAAATATTCAGTACAGAGCGCTGTATTTAGCTCGAAATACGGCTGCGAAGCACGAGAAAATTTTGCATCCAATATTCAAAGCAACTTTAATTAGAATCAATTTCGCATTTAATTACAGTACAATATTTTTCTCAATTTAAATTTTTACCAAAAAAGAGACAAATTTCGAGTATGATGTATTTATCCAGAAAATTATATGAACGCATATAGAGACGCGAAAGTTTGAAGTTTTGCATCGAACAATAGCAATTTTATATTAAGCAGTGAATTATATATATTAAATATATATATAAAAGAATATATAAAAAAAATATATATACAATTATATAAAAAGAAATATATAAAAGAATATAATATATATTTATGTTATATATTATGTTATATTATATTATATATTATATAAGAATATATAAAAATATATAAAATATACATATCTAAATATATAAAAAGAAATATATAAAAGAATATAATATATAATGTAACGTACAATATATAAATAATATATAATATAGATAATACAAAAAGAGGACGTAAATTCTGTCGTAGCGAATCTAACAATTCATCGTTCCCGCGCGTCCGCGATACGGGCCTGAGAGCTGTCAGCGCGACCAATCGGAGCGCTGCGCGCGCATCTAGGTGGTGAGGTGGCGGCGGGAGGCGCACTCGCGCTCTGCGCGCACAGCGGGTGGGCACGCAGTAGCGAGAGGTGCACGGGTCGAGCAAGACGTGTCCGCGCGTCCGTCCAGGCGCGGCGATATGTGCGGGCGTGTATGCGAGACGAGATCATGTGAATAAGATCCGCGGCCCGGCGGCACGCACCTTCGACGACGTCACAACATACGCGGTGTCGTGGTATCGCGCGCGACGTACAATTTTTCGAGGAGGAACTCCGTCGCGGAACTCAGCTGCACCTTCTGCACGCGCGAATCGGCCCGTTCGTGCTGCGCCGTCGTTATTAACTGTGTACATATATATATTTCTCGCGTACGTACACGGAACAGACACACGTGTGCGCGAGAAGACGGACGTTTCTCAAGTATTATGCGCGAATGGGCGTATTATTCTGGATCGAGGATACCGAATCGCTCGTCGATACGATAATAGTGCGCGCGAGAGACGGACGTCCAGCAGGAACGGCGATAACGGTGACAAGTGCGCCGCGAAAGGGACAGGGACGGAGATAGAGCGAGCGAGGGACAGTGTGTGTGTGTGTGTGTATGTGTGTGTGGGAGTGCGAGAGAGAGAAATTGAGGTAGAAGAGGACGCAGTGAGGGAATGGAGAACGCCATGCAGCCGCCACCCCCTCCACCAGCCTTCGACATGCCACAGAGCAGCAACACCGAGCAGACGGTCACCCACGAGTTGACATTCGGTAAGTCGCTAATCTGTCATGTTTCGCGATATCGCTCGAAAGGTCTTAGATAGACGCGATCTGACGTTTATCGATCGAAGCGACCAATTTTTCGTCCTTGACAGGTACAAATAATTCTCTCGCCCCGAGGGAATTGAACTCTCGCTCGCTCTCGGCGAAATTATCGTCGGTTTTTTCCCTCATTATATACATGTTTTCCAGACATCACTTGGCTGTGACGCGATACCTGTACGATATATGTAAAGCATTTCCGAAAATGTGTTACGCAACTGAATCTGTTGACACGCGCCGACAATCGTATTTTTATACTTTTCGCGAGAAGGAGAGAGAGAAGGAGAGTGAAGTTGTTCTAGAGAGAGAGAGAAAGAGAGAGAGAGAGAAAGATTGTGCGTATAAAAATATCAAATGTCAGTGTTATATAGCGAGTTTAAACTGACGGCAGCGCCATCAATATTACGCCGTCGACACGCGACGCGAATATGGTATAAAATTATAATTATCCTTACGGTATTTGGCACGAGAGAGAAAATTCCGCGTCGATTTAATTCCGCGACGAGGTTACTCGAGAAAATCATTTAGATGTATTTTCGTGAAATTGCTCATTTTAATATCGACTGCTGCGTAAATCGACTTCTCTCTCTCTTCATATTTAGTAACCAATACACCTAAGCATATAATTCTACAGTCATTTTAATCCTGGGAGGGGATTCGTCGTAAACACGACACCGTCGTGAGATTTTTTTTCTTTGTCGTATTCGAAAGAGATACGTGGAAAAATCGAAGATTCTTTGTATCTATTTGCCGTATTCTAATCTCATGTTTTGCCCACTGTGACTTTATTAGACCGCTCTCTTTCTCACGTTTCTTACAAAGATATAACGTGAGAGACATGCATGTAAACACGCATGTTTTTAAATAAGAGATTCTTATTGAAGAGAAACCACGAGACGCACAAACATATGCGTTTGTCATATTTATTTACCAATGCCGGATGTTGAAAAATGTTTTTTTTTTTTTTTTTCGATACGATTTTTTGATAAAGCACAGCTATCTCTGCGAAATTGAGACCCTCTCACTATTCTCAGAATTTCAATAAATATTAATTATAGAGTTCTGATTCTCCTTCTCAAATGCTCTAGATTTTTCTTCGAAAGCTGTCTTTCAAGAATTCCCTCGACAAGAATTAGAACTCATCAATGCTGATTACAATAAAAGGATTACAAATGAAATTTCTTGTATAGCTAACACGTAAAACTAGCGTTCATTTTAGTTTGTAAAATTCATTTCAATTTTATTTAGTTATTTAATTAACTGCGTTATTTAATGTATTGAAAAATTTAGGAATCTTGGAAGAAGACAGAATTTATTTTATTGAAATTTTGCAAATGGAAAGCTAAAAGGTTGTTTTTTTGTTTTAAATTTAAAAATTTTATATCTTTTTGAATTATCAATATTTTATGAAGATTCTGGCTTTCGAAAAACTGCACTGAAAAAATCAGTTATTGAGTTCGAATAAGTGTTTATTTCGATATTGCCAAATAAATCATTTATTTGAAACTAATCATATTGATTTGAATTGAAAAATATTTATTTTATATAACAAAATTCTTTTCTCAAAACAAATAAATATATGTTTCAAATAAATGATTTATTTTACGGCAGTAGAACAAATATTTATTAATTTAATAATTTTTTTTCAGTGCAGATAATTAATTAAGCAATAAGATATATAATTATTAATTTTGATTACAAAGAATAATTCTTATTAGTCGAACAATTATTCTAATATATCTAAAGAGAATATTCTCTAAAGAATTTTATTTTTGTTTTGAAGAAGACTATTACTTTCTAAAGAATAACACTATATATATATAGGGTGTCTCAAAATCATAAAGAGTAAACCTTTTAATGGCAGATTCCTGGGATCATTTAGATATGATTTTTCCTCAGCGAAAATGTCGAGAGGCCATCATTTTTGCATGTTCCCAATTTTTGTCATCATGTAATTAAAGCTTGTAATTAAGCCTCAAATTAAAATTCTATTAAAGTAAACTCTACATGAAATTGATAAAAGAATGTCAGGGTATCTAAGTGGTCAGGGAAATCTAGAAAACCGGGCATTATCAAGGAATTTTATAAATCTGGAATTGGCAGGGAAAAGAAATTTTTTATTAAATAAATATAAACTATATAGTTATAATTTTATTAAATAAATATAAAAAATATCCCAAAGATTTCATGATTTAACATTTCTTATTTCTTGCATAATAAAGGAAGTATTTGGAGTAAATATTAAATATTTAAGAATAATAATAATTATTTTGAAATAAATACAATCGATAATTCTGATATAAAAATTGGGTATAAAGGACTAGTAAGGCCTAATAAACTAGTAAGAACCCTTTATATCTGAATTTTTATTATTATATATATATCAGAATTTTTAGATTTTATTATTTTTATATAATTCCTATTCCTAATATTTAATATTTTTTTTATTGTATGTAGGGCTTTACAGTTGTAAATATTTCTTTCAGAATGGCACTAAATATAACAAAAAAATAGGGAAGAAGACCGTGAAATAGAAATGTAAATGATTATTTTTTCTATTTAAGAACAAAGCATTTAGGTATAGAAATTTTTCTATATATTGATATAATATACGATTATAAAATTATATATTATAAATTTATTGTATTCTTTTTTTTTATTATCGTTATTTTGAAAAAATACAAACGGATTCAACATTGATGAAATGCCTATTAATGTTAATCAAAGATATACCTTTATAAATTTGCTATTCGACATTTAAAAAATATAATGTTTAGTTTATATAATTATTTGTAATAACAATTTTGTTTATAACTCAAGTAATAAAAAATACAGCATTTAGAAAAATTTATTCAGTTTGAGATAAAAAGATTCGCTGGCATATCTTAACTTTAACTATAGTAAAACCTCGATTACTTCAGCCGTTTATTGAGTACCGAATCTATAATATACTCTCAATTGTTCACGTAAAAATACATGGTGCCTCGCTTTTACATAAGGGGTTGTTTCGTCTCTTGATTTTTAAAAGTTTTATTACAATGATTTTTCTTTCGTTCGTAATTATACAATTTTTAAAAGTTATATGCTAAACAATTGATCGAGGATGAAATTTTATCAATTTTTAATATAGCTCAAACGTTTGCAGTTGTTTTTTATGATTTGTTTTCAATTTTTTTGTGAATGTACTGTTTAAATCATAAAATGAATCAAGTTTATAAATATTTTGTCTTATTCTGAAATAGAACAAATGTCATTTATTTATATATTGCGTTTTTATATTTCCTCTTTTTTTTCTCTTAAATTTCTAATATATTAATATTTTTGTCATCAAAATATTGACATATCAGATAAAAATGTATCATGCATAATTAAAATCACAAGGAAATCGTAAAACTGCGTAAGAAAACTTTGCTGACGAATCCGAATCGATAATACAGGACGTGAAAAGTTTCGGACCTCTTGAATGACTCAGCATGTAAAAATTAAAGTAATTTACAAATGAATTCTTCTGTTGTCAAGCGCATTTCATTGTCCGATAGTTTCTATTTGGCATCTGTCACTTTGACAAATCTTTAAGCTAAGCAGAAAAATTTTAAGAACACATGTTCGAGAGACACCTTATGGTCAAAAGACACCCACGAATATCTTCTGTAACTAGGAAAATTTTTTTTATTCTGAGTTTTAAGAGATTTTTCTTTTGTTATATATCCGTTTATGGTTAGTCTTTTTTCTAATATTGACTTAGGACTTTTTTTTACCTCATCCTCTGCTGCGCTAATATTAAGAGACATTCTTGCTTGCATTCTTGGCTTAATCGTTAGATTAATCTTCTAAAAAATGCAGTAGCAGGAGTCTAGTTTTTAAAGAGAGAGAGAAGCTTTACTGACTTTAATCTCTCTTGAAATTATTAGTATTTGTTTCACAAAGCATCTAAAACTTTTTTAATTTTATTGTTTGATGTGATTTTGAAGAAAAAGGGATTTGAAAGATCAGATCTCTCAGAATTTTTTCGTAATATTAAAGCAAATATTTTATGCAGCAGTTAAATAAATTACGATTGTTTCTGTTCGACTCGCGCAAAGATACACGTTGCTTCGCTTCTATGTAAGGGGCGCCTTACTCAACTATAGGCACGAGACACTATACGGAGATAATTTTCTCTTAGAATTTACCTTGAAAATTATAGTAATCATGGACAATATGGAAGAATTTTATAAAGATTTTCTCTGATTAACACTTATTACAATAAAAAACATTAATATGTACAGGGTAAATTTTAGTATGTACATAGTAAATTTTACTATGTATGTACATAGTAAAATCCATCGAACATATTTTATATTTTATTGTGGTAGATATTACTATTTTTATTGTGGTAAATATTAATCAGAGAAATTCTTATAAAATTCTTCCAATATCATGTTGTCCATGATTACCATGATTTTCAGGGTAAATTCGAAGAGAAAATTCTCTCTGTGTACCGTTTCTTGATATAGATTGATTATATTCTGCTACATTAGATTATTGCTTTTTTTTATCGAGTTTCTATTTTCCAAATTTTTTTATATATTTTTTATTGAAAATTTAATTTTTTATATAAGTATTATTGGCCAAAAAATATGTTTTCTCTTCTATACCTATATTCTATAGCTTTCTTTCTCTGTACCTCTATTCACTATAAAATTAAAAATAAACTATTATTTACATTTCAATTTCACGGTCTTTTTTTCATTTTTCTTAGTTATATTTAGATTTAAAGTCATTCCGAATGAAATATTTACAACTGTATGAACAACAGAGAAAATATTAAATAAGAATAGGAGTTATTTTAAAATAATAACTTTTCCGTAGAAGATCATTGTGAATATTGTAGACATAATGGTATTATTTTTGTTACACTAGAACGCAGGTTTTTTAATTAATTAATAATTCTTGCATTTGACTTGTTA